TACAGATAAATTTGACGAGTTGAAAAAGAACCAGGCTTCAATAACGATGGAATAATGATAGATTAAAATTTCATAATCAAAATTACAGGATTCGAACATGTTACTGCAGAGTCATCTGAACATGGGAAAAAATTAGAATGCAACGGTAAAAATAATTGAGAATAGTATTTTAAAATAATTTAAAATAATTAAGAATAGTATTTAAAATTGAAAGGATTTATAAAATTAAGAATATTTAAAATTGAAAATATTACAGTATATTTTTAAAAAGATAATAACGATGATAAACGGGGCGGGAAATCAAACGGGTTTTGGCGGGCCAAATTCAGGGCTGTGTGGATAAAAGAAAAGGTGGCACCACCCAAAGTTGCCAAGTGAGAATCTTCTAGTGATATCATTAATTATAAATACTTAACGTTTTTGATGATAAATTGTTAATTAAAAATGCATGATCCTAACCTGACCCAGACCATTGAGTAACAAACTTGCAGCTTATGACGTAATGAACCTGATTCGGAACTTTTTTGCCGGTTTATATTTACGGATCGTCAAAAAGTTCAAAGTTTAATTAAACCTTAAATGATCTACTTCATTCATTTTTTATTAACAGGGAGTGAATATACAGAATTGGCCAAGATTGTCTGATTTTTTTTTGAAGGCGGTTCAATAATTTAAAAATCAATATTGTTTTTTATATTACTGAAATGACGGGTGTAATTGATACCGATGATTGAAGGATTTTGATTTTTTGTGATTTTTTGTGATTTTTGTGATTTTTGTGATTTGTGATGAGATTAACACTAACACTACGTATACGACCGATAGTACTGTAGTAACAGGTAATGTAGTAAGATTAACACTACATAACACTATAGCGATAGTGAGATTAACAGCACTAATACTAAAGTGAGATTAACACTAACACTACCGCTACTGCTACACTAAAGTGAGATTAACACTAGCACTACACTAACTAACGCTACACTAGCACTACACTAGCGCTACACTGGCACTACACTGGCACTACACTAGTGCTACACTAACACTAGCCACGTAACAGAAAAACAGTACTTACGTGTTTAAAAGTTATTTGTAGCACAAAGGGAAAGACAAGTGAGCCTATGTTAACAAGGTTAAATATTAAGGCAGGGTGTGGGGTAAAATATTCTACCTAATAGTCAGGTAGACGGACGTATGTATGTAATTCAGGCACAAATATCAGGCACATAATAATTTAATCATAATTAATACGCATAATTTTATAATTTTGATAATAGCTACATAGCAAAATGGCAAAACACAACTTCTGTACGCACATGTATATTGTACTACTCCTAACATCAGATATGGGGACGATAGATTACGCCCTTCTAGACCGGTTCTGGTAAAATTTTCCCGTTGTACCATTCTGCTAATGTACGACACTTATTATAATCCTTAATATGCTTTGTCTTACGATTTTTTGATTTGTTTTTTATATGTAATAATAGGTGATCGACAAAGGCTTCTCCCTAATCATCACAAAATAGCATATATATTTATTTATATTAT